GTTATAAATCACTAGTGAAAATTAAATTGGAAATTTTGCTATTCAAAAAGGTAGCTTTATAACGTCCCCAAACTGTCTGAAGCTGCACAGTAAACACTCCTTACTTTATTTCAGAGTGTTTACTAAGCAATGGCAATATTCACATTCACATTGCTCATTCATTAGGTACCAACGACATACATGGCCCTTTACAAGATATGAAAAAAGATAGCACCAGCCTTGCTAAAGGTCTAGAAAAGAAGCACAGCGGGGACACAGTCACAAGAGAGTAAAGGCATACAAGAGTGTTTTGGTTTTTTTAACAGATAAGAGGCTTGGATCCCGCAAATATCCTGATCTTTCCGGCTAAGCAGAACTCCACTGAGGTCAATGAGACCCTCTGCAAGCAGAAGGATCATACCAAACAACTCTCCTTGCAGGATAAGAGTCTCAATTTTTAAGATGTATATTTTATTGACTGTCTTTAACATATCATTATTGTCGGTGTGTTTCAAGGTACTGGAGCGCTTGGTCCTACAGCTCATATTACCCGACGTGGAGAGAATTTTGAGCCCTGACCAAGCCGGCTTTCGCCGAGGCCATAGCAAATGCGACCAAGTACTCGCACTGACCACATTTGTTGAAAATGGCTTCCAGAGAAACCTGAAAACGGCCGCTGTTTTCATCAATCTAGCAGCGGTGTACAATACGGTATGGCACACTGGCCTGCTCATGAAGGTATCACGGGTCCTGCTACCTTGGGTCATAGGCGTCGTTGAACTGTTCCTCCGTGATAGGCAATTCAGAGTCCATATGGGGGAGAAGACGAGTGCTTGGAGATGACAGAACAATGGGTTACCGCAGGCTCTGTGCTTTCTCCAACCCTGTTCAACCTTTACATCAACGACCTGCCAACACCAAAGTCACAAAAGTTCATTTACGCAGACGACATCTGTTTTGGTACCCAGGCCCGGACATTTCACGAGCTTGATGCCACCTTAAACCGGGACATGATAAAGTTAGCTGACTACTGTAAGACTTGGCACCTCCAGCCAAGCATCATAAAAACAGTCTCCACTTTGTTCCATCTTCATCAAACCAGCACAACCTGAAAAATTAATGTTTATCTGAATGGTCAGAAGGTGAAGCACGAAGTAGAACCGTTCTATCTAGGTGTGACCTTAGACCACACACTGAGTTACCATGCCCACCTGAAGAAGACAGCAGCTAAAGTTAAGAGGCGCAACAATCTTCTTAGCAAATTGTCAGGTTCATCATGGGGTGCTTGTGCTCCAACTTTGCGGACGTCAGCTCTTGCCACCTCGAATTCGGTGGCAGAGTGCTGTGCACTAGTTTGGAGTTGATCGTCACACACCAAACTGCTGGATACGCAGTTCCATGTTGCCATGCGTATCATCTCTGCCACCACGCGTCCGACTCCGCTCCCATGGCTCCCAGTTCTGAGCAATAATGCTCTTCCTCATATCAGACGAGAGGTTGCCACTGGCCGGTTACTGGAGAAAGTACGCGCCAACTGAAGCCTGCCACTGCACAACCACCTTTTTAAACCACCAGCTGCACGTCTGCCATCACGTCGCTCATTATGGTCTCATCTGCCACGCCAGGATGTTAGGGCGGTAACACTCTGGCGAGAGGAATGGATATCTGTTATAATCCCCAACCAGTCCCTCGTCGCCGACCCCACAATTTGCCAGCCTGGTTTTGACCTGCCCCGGCGCTAATGGTTGAATAGGTTCCGGACCGGGCACGATCTCTGTGCAGCCAACCAATATCACTGGGGCCTTCGTGACAGCCCTTTGTGCAGCGGCGGCACAACACAGCCGATGACGCTCGCTGTTGATGAATGCCTGCTGACTAGGTTCAGCGGTGGCCTAGAAGAACGGCATCACACCACTGAAGATGCCATCGCTTGGCTAGACGACTATGCACACGCTAAATAATAAATAAACATACAAAGTGCTGGCCACTTAGTCAAACCGTTTTGTACGACAAAAAATTTCTTTGAATTGTGGACCAATAAAGGAGGGTGCAGAAGGAACAGATTTAATTTAATTTTTACCTGCCTGGACAACTTGAAAAAAAAGGTATGAGAGACTATTTAAAACGTGCTTCCAAAGAGGAAGATTCGCTAAAGAATTAATTTCTGGTAGATAATGCCACTAGGAATTTCTGATCCACCAACCCTTGAAAAAATATGCAGCTGGAACAAGTTTTGGCAGAGGATTAACAGCTGTTCAAGAACTTCTCACAGAATGAAGACTCTACTGCCTATATTGGACTGGACTTCTACAAATACCTAAATTGTAAGATCATCAGAACAGGGCCCGACTCTATGGTCTCTCTGTAAACTGCCATATATAAATAACAGCCCTGATCCTGCCAACATCTAACTTTACTCACATAAGTAATCCCACTGACATCAATGCAAGTAAAGTTATGCAGCTGCATTTGCACAGGACTAGAACAAACAAATACAACTCTTGGAACTAAACAAAAGTGGATTCTCGAGCACAGCAACAGTAAATACAGGACTGGGAGCCAGGAACGCCCAGATTCTAATCCCATATCTATCACTCACTTCCTCTATGGAACTGGGTAAATCACATGATTTGTCTCACCACTGCCTCCCATTACATGTATAAATACTGAGTTACTTACCTCTCAGGGATTTTGCAAGGTTTACATGGTTCATGTTTATAAAAGCTGCTATGGTGTATGACACTCTGAAAGTGCTAAATATTATTTGCAAATATAATACTTAGGGGGCTATGTTTATCTTCATCTGAAGCCCCATTAAATCTAGCCCAGAAAATCCAATAAACCTGTTGTTTATGTCACCCAGCCTGGCTTTTATGACTGCTCTTTCAATAGCAGTGACTAATCCCATTATTACTCAATGCAAAGGAATAAAGATATAAACATATTGACCAATATAAAGATGACACAGCAGAATCTCCTAGCCAGGAATAAATGTTTCTATTCATTAAAGAATAAGTAGGCATACCCAAAATCAACCAATGCCTGTCCCAACTCAACACCCCACAACCAGAAGTGCTAATGTCCTCCAGCACCCAAATAAGGCTCTGTTTATGCTATGGTTAGAACCACGGTAGCAACAAAGGTGTTTAAGTTCAGAGGGTAGCAGAGATCTGCAGAGTTTCCCTGAATGAGCATGAAGAAGGATTGCTTCTTTCTTTTAACTGGTCAGGGAAACAGAAAAATGCCCCTGTCCTTGCAGTATGCAGAAGTTGGTCTAATAAAAGATATTACCCCTGTCCTAGCACGCAGGTCAGGAAAACCCTGCTAGAACCCCAAACTACTACTAGCAACAATGGTGCTCAAATGCTCTTGTTTGCATGTTGTTAACTATAAGGTGTGGATAGAGTCTAAATTTAAACATGGTTGTAACCTCTTCACTAAACTGCTGTGACTCACGTTTCCCCCTACAAGGGCATTTAATACCATCTCAGAAACTGTAAACAAAGGCTTGTTTCCCTTTACGAAAACTGCATAAGCATGGGAAAGGAAGAAAAGGAACGAAGGAAGTTTGTCTAAAAACAGTTTCCTTTAACTTTTACATGTTTTGACTGGCTGGGAATTTTCACCCTTTTACACGCTGCTTATGAAATCGCTATTTCATTTTCCTTGAGTGCTTAAAAATCACAGCATCTGAAAAAGTCATGGGCCCTTTCAAAGTGGCAGGGACAGGCTGGGGGTGATGAGGCCAGGAAGTGGGGAGAGGAGGAGGGAGACACCGCAGCCCCGGGGAGTTGTTCCAAACGGGGAAGGGGCGATGGTGGTAGTAGTGGTGGTGAAGGGGGCCGCTGGGGCCGGGGAAAGGGGGCACAAGGAGAAGCCAGACCGGGACATTTGGGAGGTGGAGGGGGGAGAAGTCGGGGGCTCCGGGTCTCGGGGGGGGGGGGCGGGCTCCTGCGGACACAGAGAAAGTGGACCCCCAGGGTTTCTTACAGTTAGGGCTGGGGAAGGGGTCCGAAGAGAACCGAGATCGGGGGGTCGTTCGGGCGAGCGGCCGAGAAGCCGGGATCGGGAGGGGGGCAGATGGGGGACGGGGGACGCTCGGACAGGATTTTAGGGGCCGAAGAGAACCGGGATCGGGGGAGCCAGGGGAGTGCTGAGAA